CGTGTGAGAAGTTAATTGTAATGATTAAAATATGAATTTTTAATTTGAATGTAGAGCTATTGCTGCTTGAGATTCAAAAGCTGAAGAAAAAAAATGAGAAGTTGTCTAGAGAAAGGAGAATGCAAAGAAATGAATTACCTGGATTAGACAAGGTAACTTCCTTTTAGGGTAAATTTCATAATAGACAAATTTATAAAACTAACTTCCTAGTGTATATTAGCCATAGAAGAAGTACTTGCTGTTGTACAAATGGACTCCAATATGTGTTTGCTTGTTAGCATTTAAAACGTCTATGGTTTAATCTCCTCCATACACACTTGTTCAGGAAGAGGAGTAATTGGAATTCAGATGAACTTTTGCTTTTACCTGCTTGATTCTCTTGTGAACACGCTTTTATCTTGGGTGACTTCTGTCTCCAGTCCTCCACCTTCTTGATAAATCGAGAGATTATTTTCTCCGTGTTACAGAGAAACTGACTGAAGTGTAAATCGATTGACTTAGTTCTGCCCAACAGATAGATAATTGCATCGAGAACAAAAACAAATTTCCCAAACTAAGTATCCACTGCTGCTCTGTAATATTTGTGAGCGGAGGATTATTCTCCCATGGAGTTAATTACTCCTAGGGCAGGACTTTTCACTCTTCTTTGCTGGGCTGTTAAAATTGACATTTAGACCAAGGGGGAAGGGAGTTAGTGGGAAGTGTTGGTAATTCTTGAAATGAGATGGTAAGAGTTGGAGGGCTAATCTTACTGTTCATCTGAGTTATTTAAATATCCAGATGAAAGTTTTCTTCATTTTAAGCAGCAAATTTCCTTTCAGTTTTTTTTAGATTTTTGTGTTTGCATAAAGCTAATGATTTCAGCTCGGTCCTTTTGATTGGAGGACAAACATTAATCCATTGGCTCTTGGACTGGGACATTTGTAGCACATGCTGGCATCATTGACGTTCAAATGATTTGGGAACTTCAGTCCAGTTAGGTGCTTTTGTAAATTTTATGCTTGGTGTGTAGAGAGTAATCCTAATAATTGTATAGTCATGAATGTTCGTTGAAGAATAAATTCAGATACTGATATAACTTTTCACTTGTTTTCAGTATTAACTTAGTGCTTCCTCAAGGAAGTACTGCCTTGTCCTGTTATTCTCATCTGCTCCAACAGGTTTTCAGCTGGGTAGTACTTACAGATCCAGCAGGAAGTGATATTGGTGATTTATGGTGTGTGACTGTTTTCTAAGAATTGTTACGAATCAATATGGCCCAGCCTGATGTTTTATTTAGGAGGTAGGGTTACTACTGTGTGATTGAAAATCTCATATTTCAGATGAGAGATCTATCTGAGGACCTAATTGTCATTAAGGTTGTTATTACTGATATACTAGTAGCTGAAAGCCTGTGATATCACATGGGCATGGCAGTCGGGCCACATAATCCACAGTCTATGCAGCCTTTCTCATACAACCAATACAACCGTTGCATGCAAATTAGCTATAGAGGAAGGGCGGTGATTGGTTGAGTTACCTCTGATATCACAATGGTCTAGGACTCATGGCTTGGCTAGATACATGCTTACTGTAGCTACACACCACACAGGTGTAATTCATAAAATCAAAGTGGCTGAGAACATAAAAATTGGACAGTAAAACAGTGAATCTGGTGATATTCTGAACAAAAAGAGCTCTCAGCCATGCTTGTATCTGTTTCTGTCTCCTCACGCTGACTCAATGGACATTGTAGGCTTCACAGTGACATACAGAGTAACAATTGTGGAATTTTATTATACAGATGACTACAAGATGTGTGTGGCCGGTTACAAAACCAACATTGACTCCCTTCTCCAAAGCACTTAGTCAAAGTAAAAACAAGAGAACAACACAGTAAAATCTGGAGGCATCTTTATCATGTAGTTTCTTTTGAAAGTAATAGATTCTGTGTCACCTTTCAAGCTAGAGTTCTGGGTGATTACATTCTGCCTCCTATTGCTAAACTTCCTCTGTAAGTGATTGGGATATGCTATTCTTTTTCTGTCCTAAACTCTGAAAGATTGCCTGTGCAAGTCATTGCCTTGATTCCTCCATTACTGAAATCCGTATCCATACCTTAGTCTCCTCTCTCCTTGACTATTGCAGTTCCAGTCTTTACGGACTCACTCCTAACTCTCAGCTCTCCAGACTCCATGATGTGTGGAATTCTGCTGTCTGGCTTTTGCAAATACAGGGAAATGTAACTACATTTCCATTATCAGACACCTCTTTTGGCTCCTGATTCACTTTGAGATACCATTGAAACCCCTTTGGTTTTTAAAATTTTCACTGATTTGTTCCCTGTGTCTTTGTGGACTTTGTTTTCTCTCTTGAATCCATTTTACTATCTCTGTCCGCCCCACTGGGTTTGTGTGACTACCTTTCCTTCTTGCCATTTAGAACTACCTTTTTGTCTTTCTGCAACATTGACTCATCTCTCCTTTGCTTCTCTCTTAATTTCTCTTGCTGCTATCGTATTTTTTACTTTACTTTTATTATTTGTCTGTAAAATATTTTGAAACTGTTTGTATGAAAGATGCTATATGTATAAAAATTGCAAGCTGTTGTGCAGTATTGCAGTTAGCTGTCACATCTCAGTTCAGATGTGGTTGCAGCCTCACTGGTGACCAAAGTGATTCCTATGTGTATAACTTGAAGAGTACTCTGAGGGTACGTCTACGCAGCCCACAGCAGCGAGTGTCAGAGCCCTTGCTGATAAACTTGATGTTGCTGTGTAGATGGTTGTGTAGATGTTCCGGCTCTGGCTCTGAAGCCCACCTCCCTCACCAGGCTTCAGAGCCTGAGCTCTGGCCCAAGCTGCAATGTTTATGCAGCTGTTTTTAGCATGTTAGTGGAAGTTTGAGTCTATCGACTCGGGCTGTGAGACTCGCTGTGTCTGTAGGCTGAAGAAGGGGAAAATTTTGACGTATGACCATAACCTTCCAATGGCTAATGGGAAATGTAACTAGAAAAAAAAAGATGAAATCTGAATTTTCTTTTTTAGGAATTTTTCGACGAGATAGAAGATTTAAAGTATGCTCTACAAGAATCAATAAAACTGAATAATCAGTATGAAAAGTGCTTGAAACACATAAGTTCAACATATGGATTTGCTTTTGCCGCACCTTATACGACTATTACTAGTTACAAAACTTAATAGAAATTAAACATTCCATTTAGATTTTTAGTGTTGAATTCTCTCCCCAAAACACAGACCAACCTGGTTACCAGGTTAGCACTTCATTTTCCACAATAAAATCATGACTTCCTTGACTCTAACATGCAATTTTACAGTGTTCTGTATCTTTTACGATGACCTTGTGCCTTTGTTATATAGTTTTTGAATAAACTGTCCTTTTATCATTTTGTTTTAGAAATTCAGTGGTTCTGTTTCATTTGTTTAAAATGGATGTTGCAGGAATAAATAATGTGCATTTTTTATAATCTTTGTATTTAAATTTGACTAATTGTCCAGCTTTGGCATTTTATTATGATAGACTTCATGGGCTTAGTCTTGAGTTGTGGTAGAAGATCAATGCAGCTGAGGAGGGGCATTGCAAAGGTTGTTTTAAGGTGCTGTGCAGTCAGATCATTTGAGTGCAGGGGAGCAGGAAACAACCTGCTCCCTCCCCACTATCCAAGGTCGGAAGTGCTACAGTAGCTCTATGCCACTTGAGCTTCAGTCCAAGCAGGCGAAATATCTGAAGGATTAGTGACCTGGCTTTAGAGTTGCTTTGTGCTAGCAGTTTGATATAAAGCTGCCCTTAACACAGCCTAGGATCTGGCCTATTATTTGTAAGTTCACTGAGGACGCAGTAACCCCAAATTCCTAATTTGAGTTGGTCCCTTGAACATTTTACCCAGATGTTCCTAACTGCTATCTTATTCTACGTGTTTGTTTACTCTTTTCATGACAGTTTTTTCCTTATTAAATAAAACAGCAACTATCTGTCCATCAATTGGCTGGTTTCTCAAGAGTGTTTTACAGAGAGACTCTTGGACAGATTTGAGGGAGGAGAAGGTGGTGGCTTTACATATCAGTTTTGGGAAGGTGCTCCTCCCCAAAGGGCAACATGGAAGAAGGTGCAGAGATGTTATGGTCAAATTCTTTATTTTTCCAAATTCATAGGGTGTCCCATATGAATCTTTTACCATTGTAAAAATATACAGCGAGGAGGAAACACCTCACAAGGGAGTTATTCTTCTGTCATCTCTGGCAGAATTCTGCGGTTTGCAAAGTCTGCTGAATAATGCAGAAATCTTCATTATAATACATTGCCTCTGCCTGAGCTATTTAAAAAGAGTCAAGAAGGTGAAAACCTTGCTATCCCTTTTATCATACTGTCTTAAAACTTTCAAAACAACTATTGCGTCATCCCAGTCTCCACTCTTTTAGAATGAGAATAAGCACAAGTCCTTTAACCTTTCCTTAATTAGATTCTTCATCAAAGGTCTAGTTCTAAACAACACAATCATCTACGCTGGGATATCTAGTAGCAATATGGTTGTCCTTTGATGTGGTTAAATCATAATTCCATTTGGAATAGGAGTACTTGTGGCACCTTAGAGAATAACAAATTTATTTTTGGCAGTGAGATGGGTCTGCCTGTTAACTGTGACCTTCAAATCATTCTAATGCTACCTGTCAGAAAACAGCCATCCTGTAACCAGGGCTGCAAACATGGTGTGGATTTACCGTGGATCAATATACTACACCCAGTCTTCCTCAAAATAGCTTTTATAGTCGAAAAAGAGAGCAGCTACAGCTGTGAATTAGCATTTCAGCTGTGATTGAAAACAGCCAACTAGAATTCAGCTGCAGCTGGCCAATGACAGAACCTCTGGGTTGAATTGTAAAACAGCCAATCCGGATCAGTGTTTCATTTGGCTAGTAAGAAGAGATGTCATGCTGCATTCCTGGCTGTTAGTGCCAATTATGCTCAGCTGGTCTCGCGATGTCCTTTCAGTAGAAGCAAACTGTAACCCAGAAATGTGTGCACAGAGCAGACACCTGCGGTGGCCCTAAAATCTGCAGCACAGCTCCTAGAATAGCAACAGCCAGGAGCAGAAACACTGGAGCAAGGGGCATTGCAGAGAGGATTCACCACCCCGTCTGTTGGGGGTATTGTTTTCTACTATTGCTGGTGTCCTTTCAGTGGCAGTTCCACCAGGAAGATAATTTTCGTGCACCTGGCTTTTGGTTGTATTTTCTTGGATTATCGTTTGACTGAGGACTCGGCTCTTTCATCCCCTCTCCCCCGTAGCTCTTTGGGTGCAGATGCACTAGAGAAAGTTGATTTGTAAAAAGTCTTTTAATGAAGAGAGAGGCTCCCGGAGAGCGGTAGAACAATGGTTATGAAACTGTAGGTTTTATTTGCCTTTTTTCTGTTAAGCATGGCGTGGATTTGTGAATGCGAAGGGTCTTTGCCTTCCATCTTTACGTGCCTTAGTGCAACTCAAGTAACTTACTAACATTTTCTATTAAACCATATAATACTTTGGCAGCCCTTTGATAGTTTGTGGTTCCCCCGTAACAATCTATACAGCAGGAAGTAAAGGTGGAACCCTGGTATTAGAGATAGGTACGATTTGCACGGTAAGGCTTTGTGTGGTATGTGCCTGCCTAACAAACGTTTCTGTTTTACACTCGTCTCTTCAATATGGAACATGCAAACAAGATCTTGTGGTTTTATAATGCTGACCTTGATTAAAATGCTAGGTAAGAATGATGTTAAAACAAAGGTAACCCGGCCTCATTTGTAGCTTCACAGCTCAGTGAGTTTGTAAAGTGGCCAATGGCTTTTTTTTTTTCCCCCCTTCCCTCTCTTGAAGCAGAGATTAGAGGTTTTTCTGGAATTGTAGTTTACTTTTCCAGTCATCTAAGTATACTTTATTGACCTCTTGTTCATAGATCTTTAGTTTCTGTGGTTCTGACACGGCCATGCCAGCAATGATGCTCTCAGCACCTTTCAGGATTGGGTCCCAGTGAGAAATGTAAGCAATATGAAGAAAGACCTGACTGGCTGAAAGAAGAATGACTCCGTTGTGAGGTGTTTATCTACTGCTTCTATTAAGACCTCCTTAGTCCCTCTCCCTTCCCCCACGCCAGTAATTTCAGATGTCTACTAAGGAAATTGGAGTTTTCACTAAAGGAAAGGGAAAGGGAAAGTCGTTGCTCAAAGCTTATTGTTTCTGCTTGTCCTGATTTTTATACTAAGTAGCTTGCAGTATGTTTACAAAAACAAAAAATCCACCACCTGGATTCTTCTGAGGTCAGGAAGAACTTCCCCTAAAGCCTTTTATCCACCATTGGGTGGATAAAAATTAATTTTTTCCCCTCTACAAATCAGATTTTAAAAAAAAATTAAATTTAGTGTTGTTTTCAAATAGTTTATTTCAAAATTAATTTTAAATAGGTTTATGTTAAGAACTAAACTTACTGAAATCATTTAAATAAAACATTCAAGCAGTACATGTTTGCTGCTGAAGTTTTAAAGAAACACCACTGAACTGCTGGATGTTCATTCAACTAGCTTATTTCAACTTTGAATGAACTAGTTACTGAAAAAGCAGAAAAGCTTATTGTGCAGAAGGATGAGATCTATTTGTTCTAAAATCTTGAAGTAGATATGCAGAAACAATTAATTATCTCACGCACCTTGTCTCTTTTTTTAAAATAAACAGTTAGCTTTAAATGCAAAATATGTTTTGATAAACTCCCTCCCTCCCCCCATTATGTATCCAGCACATTTAAGGTAGCTATATTCAACTGATAATATTTTAAAAAGCTGGTTTTGTACACTTTTAATTGAATTCCAATTTCCATCCAAATGCTGCTTGACATAAATCACGAGTAAAAAAAATTAACCATAATCTAGTACAGGGGTAGGCAACCTATGGCACGCGTGCCGAAGGTGGCACGCAAGCTGATTTTCAGTGGCACTCACACTGCCCGGGTCCTGGCCACCAGTCTGGGGGCCTCTGCATTTTGATTTAATTTTGAATGAAGCTTCTTAAACGTTTTAAAAACCTTATTTACTTTACCTACAGTACCTTATTTACTTTACCTACCTACCAATAGTTTAGTTACCGGTATATATTATAGACTTATAGAAAGATACCTTCTAAAAATGTTAAAATATATTACTGGCACGCGAAACCTTAAATTAGAGTGAATAAATGAAGACTCAGCACACCACTTCTGAAAGGTTGCTGACCCCTGATCTAGTAAATAAGAAAAGCATCATTCATCATTTTCCAACATAAAAATGTAAACATTAAGAATCTGAATAAATGTATGTTAAACTATATAATTTCTTACACTAAATATATAAATATTTATTTACCCTTCTGGTTAAGAAGTGCCAAATTTAGTGTGACAGCTATCTTTCGTAGCAAATCAACATGTTTTAGTGTCGATCAGCTTTTCTTTAGGAAAACAACTAAAAAGAACAAATGCAAAACAAGATTAAAATCAAAGATTTAAATCAAAGTGTCCTGCTTGATGATTGAAATCCGTAATTTAAATCAGTCTACTCTGACTGTTAAGGAGATTTTTGTTCCTCCTTCCGAAATATCTGGTACTGGTCTCTGTCAGACATAGGGTACCAGATTAGACAGACCATTGATTTGCTTAATGTTGTAATTCCTGTGGTTCCTCAATTTAATTTGGGTGTAGGATGTTGGATTGCTGTTACAATTCTTGTATCATAACTGAAGAATATCATATAACTATGCATTTTCTTCATAATATGGCTGTTGTCCTACAGGACAACTTGTGGGAGGTAATGACCCTATTCATAGTGTGAAGAAAGGGAGAAAATCAAGTTTTAACAGGTGACAACAAACAGAAGAACAAAGAGGATATCTAGCATGTACTTGGGTATGCATGGAGCTGTTTCCTATATGAAACAGGATTGTGGAAGCTATTTTCTTGCTCATAATCTAGCCATATGTAGTTGAATGAACAGAAAATGTGCATTTGCAGGTTAGTTTATTGTGGCTGTTTGAGTGTTTTCTATCATCTAATGAGTGAGCAGTTGCTGCATTTTGAGGTTTTTGCCTTTGCATTATTTCCTGCACTTCTCTAAAGCACATAGCAAAGATTGACCCACTACTGTTAACATATTAAGTGACATTGAAAAAGTATAGTCCGTGACCCAGACTGATGCCTGTTTGCTGTCTTGAAAAGATAATGTTTCTAAATAAATATTGGTAACATTGACAAATCCATGTTTGAAAAGAGGTAACTTCGTGATCAGGTTTAGGCTTTCTTGAGAAAGTAAGATGCTTGTGACATGTTGCCAATGTTAATTTTCTTTAAGGCAGGGACTTACTGAGAGGCTGCCTGGCCCACTGGTTTTAGCATTTGTAGTAGGAAGAGCTGAAATTCTGTCCTGATTCTGTCAAAAGGGTGGCTTACTCAGAATTCCAATAAAATGCTGCCAGAACATCTGAAAAATGGCTACAGGCATGTCAGAACGAGCCATGGAGGATTCCAAAATTAGTGTATACCTTTTGAAATGCTTCGTTTCTCCATCTGGGTAATGATGCTGACCTGCCTTTTTCAAAATATTTAGATACCTATAGATAAAAAGTTGAATGTAAGTACTAAGTATTACCATTATATGTTGTCTCCTAATACTTCAGAGCATAGGAAAGCAAATAATGAAATGTCCAATTCTTATCTTTAAAAGAAAGTGTGCGTGGTTTTTTTACAGCTTTCCCATTAACATTGATTCAAATTTCCATTAATAAGTATTTAGAGAAACACTGTCACTTGTGCTCCTGTCCCAGTT